GTGGGGGATGGGTGGGGGTTCCAACGCTTCGGCGCACATGCTGTTTGGCGCAAAACGCGCTTCCAATCTGGATTAAATGCCGTAATTTCTTCTTTTCTGTTAAAATTGGTTTGGTGTTTAAATATTTCGATGGCCTCTTTGAAATTTGCAGATGATGCAAAACTAGGACCAAGAATCACGTCTTATCGACGTCGCTTATGAACGAAAATCCCACACGATGCATTTGATCTGGTGTGTGCTGCTTGAATTACTTTTATAATTTACACATAAAGTAATATTTATGGCTTATATTATTGGATTATTTAGCTCCTAAATTCTATAATGTCCTACCGAATAACTTGAAAAGGATGAATAATATTATAAATTTTAGCAAGGGCTGCAGATAATTTATTTTTCAAAATATAGACAAATTTGATTAGTGGTTATTATATAGTGGTTTTTGGGAATGTTGCTTCTGGGTGATGGTAAAATTAATTTAAGTAAACTGTGTGTAAAGTTTTGTTTTGGTTATTTCATGTATCTTTCTTTTCGTTTAAATTAAATAAATTAAATTAGTTTTAGGTATATTTCAATTAAATTAAAACTTAGGGCGTAATTCTTGGAAATCATTTTCATTTGGATGATGTATACAAATGTCTGGAACATTTATACATCAATATATTAATTAAGTTAAGTTAAGTTAAGTATGTGAACTTATTCACTGCACTGGAAAAAAATATTAAATTTAATTAAATGTGAAATATGAAATTTCCAGTTTTCAACTGAATGGTGTCAAAGATGTAGAAAACGATCTAGTCATTGTCACCAATATATGCGTTAAAAAAAATCTATAGCATAATGGTAAGCCCTAACTTGTAAAATGTAAAAAAGACAATGTAAAAGTTGTATCAAAACTTGGATTGTCGAGACTATGAATTATTCATATTTTTATGTTGTAGAACTCTCTGCTCACTAATTTCTTCTATATTATTAAAGTGATGTAAGGTCAATGCGTTGTAAAGTAGTTTATATTTACCATATCAATTAGGACAAACTAACGGCCTATAATTTTTACATAACGTTGGCACCAAGGGGGGATCCAGGGGGGGAAGTCATGGGGTTTATGACCCCCCCCCCCATTCAATTTTCTATCCAACGATACCAAAACGAATTATGTGGCTCGAATGGTTCTTGAGAAACTTCGAAAAAAGCAGCGTCATGTTCAAGTGGATTTTGCACCTCAAAAAAACCACGCAAATCCATAACTTCTTGAATTCAAGCATTTTTTGAGAAAACTGCCAACATTTCCCCATCCATGGTTCACTTTCTAAAAAGGCCATTTATTTCTGTCTAGAATGA